CATTTTAAGAATTAACATATAGTTGCAATTATAACCTATATTTATACAAGTTTCTTTTCAAAATTTTCTCTTTCACGTCTCACTCAAATCTCTTTTCACATGACATTTTGGACTCTATTTTAAGGGAACTAACATTAAGAGTTGTTTTCAGATATTAATTGTCCTTTGACCAGCAGTTGGCATAATGGCTATGTCGCTGGACTCCCATGTAGTCAACTGTGGTTTGAGTCCCAGACCTGGTGGTTTAAACTCACGCTGGGTGCGTGTGCATGCACGCCCAAGATCCTGAGAGGAGAATGGAGGGAAAGGGATTGTGGCATGGCCATCCTCCCTGAGGGGTGATTTCTCACCTTCTGTCTCTCTGTCTCTCTCTGTCTGTCTGGCAAGTGCACGCACGATATAGCAAAAACTTCTCCACAAAAAAATAAATAAATAAAAGAATTTTTTTAAAAAGGTATTAATTGTCCTCAGATAAAGAAAATCCACTCTTTGGACCAGAAAGTGGCAAGGTGACAAGATAATTGGACCCGCGTGAGAAGGTCCCGATTTCGAGCCCTGAGGTCTTCCTGAGTGTTCCATGAGTGTTCACCTATGACCCAAGCAGGCTGAGGCCAGGGAAGATTGCAGTATAAAGACCCTGCTGCAGGCACATGTCTTTATCTGTCTCTGTCCCTCTCAAGGGAAGATTGCAGTATAAAGACCCTGCTACAGGTACCTGTCTTTCTCTATCTGTCTCTGTCCCTCTTTCTTTCTCTTTCCCCAACCCTGACTTGGTTTAGCCATTAGGTTTTGATCTCAATCTTAGAAGATATGATTCTGATCTCCTTCTCCCCGGCCCACTCCACAAATATCTAAATGTCCATCAACTTTATCTGTAAAGTAGCCAATTACAGCAGCAACTTGACCTTTTCTCTGTGTAAATGCATATGATAGGTGATGACCATCTGCAAGATATGAGCAACCCAGATTGATGTGTAATTCCTGCCAGTACATGTAACTCCTTCTCTTTACCTCTGACTCAGGAGAGC